GCAGATTTAGATCCTCTGACGTGGAGAACCTCTAGTTCAACAGCTGCCACAAATACGCAAGAGCTGTCACAATTGTGAAACAGCTGACCGGCCCATTCATTACTCACCAGAAGTCCAACATTAGCAAGCGCCCTGGTGATGCGCGCCTTCCACGAGGGTCGAACGTTGCATAGGATAAGATTTTGATTGGGGGTAATGTGAACATCCAGCTTGAACTTCTCAATCACCTCCCTGAGAGCCTTCTTTGCCTCGCCTTTGATCCGACCATTCTCAACATGCAAGCCGAAAAATACATTGCCGTCGCCCTGCAATATTACCACTTCAATAAGCGCTCCTGCATTGTACATCAAGTGCAGTACAGCATTCCTTCAAACCCAGACCAACTCTTTGCACCAAGGAAAACGACGATCACCTGTTCATGCCAGCCCAAGTAGCTTTGGAACTGGAAGGGAGGAAGCTCCTTGAAAGGTTGAATGTGCTTGCCAAAATACTGCTCCACTACTGTTTTGAATTTGTGAATTCCCCACTCCTCAACCACATATTTCATGCGAGACATTCTACGATCATCCCGGCGGCCATAGTCACGCTGCGTGGCCACTATTGCCTTCACAACGTACAGTATATCATCCTTGGATACATAGCCTAATTCGTCCGCCAGTCGTGGGAAGGTCTGCTCGTTTCTGTGCGTTCGACCCATGCCTCCTCCAACCTGAAATACCATAAATGTCAAAAGTGAACCTTTCACAATGTGAGTAAAACATTCATGTAGGAAAAATAAACTGGGGGAGCACAAAGTTGGTCAAAGCTTTCACCCTAAACCGGTTCGACTGGGGCTGGACGTACGAAAGTAAGCATAACCCTGCAATGAGCCATCCTAGAGGAGGAACGCCTAAAGTCCATCAAGTTCGGTCCCTACATAAATATTGTAGCCTTGTACGTCTCCATGTTCATCGCTGATTACGACAATGCCGATGTCGTTTGTCAATACATCAACCGAATTGTCGCCGGGTACAGTAACTGCAATCTTGAACTTTCTGGGCAAAAATTGGACTCCATAGATAGGCTCAGGGGAATTGTCGAAGTTCGTGCCATACGAGTTGTCATTGCGGGCAATTGTGACATCCTCGGGCTCATCTTGAGTGATCTTTTCACCGTCCACCCAGATATCATAGTATGCCCCAGCTTGGGGAGCCAAAAGCATTGCTAACTTGCTAGCCAGTTCCTGTGCGTGGACGTACTCCTTTGATTTGTAAGGTGCTGCAGGGGCCAAAACGTTTCTGTTCACGTCCCCACAAGCCCCGAGCGTCGACCCCAAATTCTTGATTATGCTGCTCATAACAGTCTTCAAATCGGTCTTTAGAACACCGTGAAGCTGGAAGGTCTGACGCGTCGTCAGACGCAGGGTGCCAATGCCATACTTGTCAGCGAGCTCATCCATGACCAAGTACAGACGGTTGGGAACAATGCCTGAAGGGTTTTTGGTCCTAAGCATGAACTGATAAGCCTTGTGACCCGGACCCCTCAACTCGCGGTTGTCTTGTTGGTAGCTCCCGTGAAATTTGATAAGCTGGACAGCGTCTTCATTCACATTAGGTGCCTCTGTTTCAAGCTCCTCTTTCAAAGGATGCCGCAAAAAATCACTGTTTTGCTTGATGATTTCCACCTTGCTCCGTTTCGGTGGCATCGTTGTCGGCGGTCTCACAGGCTGCAAAGCAATGACACCAATAATTAAGGTAAGCTCCAGGCTACTCTGTGAACCGTATAAAAGGATTCTAAACGCTCGAGATTTGAGAAGAGATTTATCGGTTCTTCGCAGGGGGTTCAGAGCACCAAACAAACAGCAGAAACGAGAGTGGCTCAGATTCAAGGTCATCTCTCAACGTCATTTGCGCATGACAAATTCAGCTGCATTGTAAAACACGCACTCGAAGAATGTCAATCAAGAGAGTGGACCGATAAAGAAAAAAAGAAAGAGTCTAAACTGAAATTCAATACATTCAACACAATTAATCATTTAGATCATCTTATACGGCCCGACGTTTCGCTTCGAAGAATGCAGACGTCTCGAGTCAGGCTGAGTAAGCGCCAAGGGTGAAATTCGACTAATCCCCTGGAAACATCGACTTGAGATCAGCCCACGACATCATAAACAAGCGACTAACAACAAGGCAGATGATCACGTACCGTAGCCACGGCACGAACGCGAAGAGTACCGACCGCAGCGCCTCTGCTCGACGAAACCTGAGCTTCATGCTCCCCATTCCTACGCACTCTCAATCCCGAAAAACTCGAAAAAGACGGTGGAGCAGGCGACTGCACCAACTCCGCTCCGCCAACAAGCGCAGAAAAACCCTGGGCCGAAGCCATGCCATGCACCACCGCAGTCGCCATGCACAACTAGAGCTCTTGACGCTACAATCACCACGCGATTGACCTAATCCTGCCCTTCCAGCGACGCGAAAAATTGCTAACTCTCCTCTGGAGATGCTTCACTGTCACCGTGTGCGCGATGAATCAAAACTGCGGGGAGACTAGCCAAGGTTTTGAACGGTCCCCGGCAGCCTCGTAGAGAAGGAGGACTGAGCAGATCGAAGCCTGTCGCAATCGCGGAATCCGCGTCAGCGAAACCGGAACGGCAACACCATCACCAACACCAACATGCATTTGTAGGAGAAGAGGGAGCGTGGCCACCGCGCCGCCGAGGGAGCCACGCGCGCTCTCCGAAAGGAATATCTTCCCATTTGGGAGTCCCCTCCCACCTTATCATCCATCCGATAACCTATGCACTCTCATCCGTCGTTCATCCCGTATAGAGGCCCTGCTTACAGGCCCCGTTGGACCCGCAACTGTTTCGCCCTCCCTCCACGTCAACGGCGTGAAGCTCTGAAGGGTTTAAAACGCTGAAACCTGGGTTCATTCGCAGTTTCGCCATGGGTCTTGACCAGCTGCGTTCGCCACCAAAAGCTTTGCGTGGCGGGATGATTTGCGAGGTGGATTGTAAGGTTTTCTAGTTCCTAAGAACCATGTGGGTGAAAATGGAAATGAAGGCCAGATGGACATGGTTCACGGCTGTATTTGCCCGTTGTTTGAGGATGATTCGCGACACCAATGAAGAATGAGGGGTGCATGTTGCTGACCTCAGTTGGTGGCGTTTCAGTCGGTCTGGTTCCAGTGCAAACCGAGCAGAAGCAATCTGGTGGTCGTAGATTTGTGTTTACGGGATCTGGAGACAGATTGGATTTGTGATTTTTCATTTTGTCCTATTCTTCCTACAACAATCAACCCAAGATTAGAGAGGTGGATCCGGTTCTCTGGGCATAGGTTCAATTCGAACGGCAGGCCGTGTGGGGACTTTGTGCTTCATCAGCCGAATGGATTTTGGATTCGTTTGCGGAACCTCAATTATTTTTGGAAAAAAAGTTGCCTTCTGCTCTTTTTTTTTTTTTTTTTTTTTTTTTTTTTGTAAAAATATATTTATTTGTTTTTGTGTTGTTTAGTACGCAGCATGTTCGAAGATGTTTGGGTTGCTAACTTTATCTTTCGTTTATGTGGTCTGAAGATTTTTTCATGTTTAGATTGTAATGACGTCTCGAGTACTTTGTGTTTTCAGTTTTGTTTGTGTCCTAGCATTATGGTGATTCCAAGATTTTTACACCGGGAGGTTTACAATGGTACTGTACATTCCGTTTAGGATGACTTTTTGTATAGTCGTTTGTTTCATGTTTTTGTGGATGATATTTCCCTTTCATTGTGTTCTTTGGTTTTTTAGAGAATTACTGGGTTAAATTGTTTTCATGAAGTTGGAGGTGTGAAAGTGTTGGATTTCTCTAACTTAAAAGGACTTCATGACTGCCTTTTAAAGTGTATTGCTATTGAAATCAATAGTTCTACATAGAGTCTTAAATGTATACAGATATAGATGAATTTAAGAGTTCCAAAATGACTGGGCAGTATAAGACGAAAATATGTTTGTCCTCATTCAGAGGAAGGTGCTTAGTATTGTTGGGGGTAAGGGAACAAGGGTTCTTGTAATTTTAGCAAAATTTGCGATGAGATTCATTTAATTTGCAAAGATGGCGATGACATCAGACAACTTTGCTTTTAAGATCATATTCGCATGCTCGCCTGGCTTTGACAAAAAAGCAAGCTCAAGCGGAAAGCCATGGCACAAGAAACAGATGCAGTGGAGATTTTCAAGTCATGCTTCTTGTAGCAGAGACCGTGATCTGGAGCAATTTTAACAGTTACGGCACACGTGAGTTCATGAAAAGCTATGAATATACGGAGTTCCCGAACGAGATTGGAATACATACGTTTTACCCAGGGCGGATTGGGTTGTGTTTGTATCGCTCCTGGAGCACATCTGGAACCAAGATGCCCTTTGAATGATTGCAATATTACACAATTTCGGTTTCCGCGCGATTCGAAGCTTTGAAGTTCCTGTAAGTTGAACTCCATTGTGTTCTGGTTGATATTCTGGAGAGAAGAGTTGGCAACGCCGGCTTCAAGGCCAAACGCATCTACTACAGGCCCAAACTAGCAGCGGCGAAGGAACATGAAGAGACATCCCAACTCGCCGTCCAAATAACATAAACAGCTTTGGAAAATTACATCAGTAAAAAACGAATTTTTGATGTGGTAAAGCTCAGGTAGTAAATATAATCCGCTAAGATCCTTGTTAATGATAGGGAGGTGATTCAGTGAGGATTTTGGGAAGTGCTGTGAGGCGGCAACAATCAATAGAGGGAGCGTTGAATGTACATTCTACACCGAAAATCAACCCGACTTCACAGATCACGCATGCATGTGATGTACTTGCAATTCCAGTTAAGAAACCACAGTAGCAAGCCAAGATGCTAAAGCTACAAGGGCCAATACCAATTTGGATCACAACTGAGGTGAATTGCAGATAGCATGCTCACGGGCATGGGTTCCATAATCTGGAAATGTCGCGATCATCGATTCTTCGACTTCAACAAGCGTCACAGGTCTCTGTTATCTGACAGGCATAAAATTTTATTCAGTGAGAAAATCACACATATCGACAGCAACTTGGATGTAACAGCAAGTCGGAAAACAGGCAAACGGATGCTAGTGCGAGCTCCGACCCTTCAAATGCTGCTCCAAGGACTTGCACACAGACACGGGGTATTCATAAAAACTCGTGTAATCGTTCAACGAAGAAGACCTCATGCGGTAACGGGCCAAATCTACCTAAATGTTACAAACAACAAAAGTGCCAACAGCACTGCAAGTCACGAAAAGAATTTCTAGAAATATGTATTTGACGCGCTGCCCTGCAGGGTACTCAAGGACGGCACACGCCCTTTCTAATAAATACAATGTAGAGACCTTAAGTCACCAGCCCCTGAAACTATGGGCCTCTTCTGTATTCTCAGGTTCACATCTTCTACTCCAAATTATTCCCAGATAATTAGAACTGCAATACATAATCAATGAGGCAGCAACAACATGCCAACTACAAGTGCCGTGAATGGGACAGTGAAGTTGTCATCGAGAGGGAGAGGCAAAGACTCCGCAACTGCAGAGGCAAAGGTCACCCCTAGAGTTGCGAAATACATCTTCGTCGTTGCTGTGAAAAACCCGAACGCTGAGAAGTAAGCCAAATACCTGCTCCATTTTGAACAAATCCAACATAGTTGTTCGCTGAGAAGAACTTCACTGGAAACAAAGAATTATAGAAAAGCGGCAATCACTGAAAACAAATGTTGAAGAATCAAACGGATCGAATGAGATGCTCTTCATTCTCTATAAAAACATTCGGACATTCAAAAGAAAATTCGGGATTGGTCACGTACCCCATGGACGCGAGAGAGGCAATTACGAAAAAAGCCACCGAGCCGACGAACGATTTGCTGTTATTGTATGGTAACTTATGTGCACCATATTTCCTGCCTAAGATATCCGCAAAACCTGCATCATCCGCATCAAACAAACGCCGCAACTGAGCATCAACTCTTGAGCTAGACAAAGTAGACCCGCGATAGTTAAGAAGAGTATTTCTATCTCCAATACATCTAATTCCTACTGGTGCCTATTACAAAGACTCGCTACCTAAGGGCTTGCATCAGGTTTCAATACAAATGTGACAGGCAATGTGCTTTATGAGGCGGATGTCCTTACCATCGCCCGCGCACAAAGTTGCGACTGCGACTGCACCAACAGGTGAGTTTCGCCAGAAACAAAGTGTTGAAATTGTTATTGTAATTGCATAATACAGGGGGCCATGCAGCAGTTCACTGCAAAATGTACGTAGGTACTCGTTACGAATGACCAAGTAGGACTTCTAACACTCATGAAGGTTATGTAACTGGCGAGAGGGCCGAAAACAGGAGTATATATAAAGCAACTTTCGATATCGATTCACTAGCTGTACCATTTTGGGCCAGTCTAAAGCTTACTTGCCTCTGGCTGCCTCCTCTGCTTATAGCTTTCACTAAAGCTTCGTTCTTCCAAATACCAAGTCCTAGCCCGATCATACGTAGTCCATTGGCAGCCGGTGCTAAAGCTGCCAACCACTTCGCTTGAGGCGCTGAACTGCATGATGAACGACAAAGTGTTGCACGTATTGAAGCCCTAGAATATCATGCAACAAACTTGCAATCTACCGCTCCAGATAGCTTTCCGCAAATATATAATTATGCCACTTTGTGATTGAACCTTTTAAATAAGTTTCCATACTCTCCATATCTGTATCCGTGATTCAAGAGGGAAAGGCCATTTCGGGTCTCATTTGGTTAGAAAAAGGGACAAGCATACCTGGATGCTGTGCACTGGAACACTTCAGAACTTAACAGATGGCCTTGAGATGCAGTTATGAAGGCACAAGATAAAAAATTGGCGTTCAACTTCTAAGTGTGGTCAAGAGTATATTTGAGTGCAATTGAAACATTAAAGTCGGGCAGTTTCTTTCAGGAAGTTAGAAGGTCTTACCTAAATAAAGGCCATAACAGCATGAACACCATCCCGGAGAGTATATGGCATAACTTCCGACTTAGTTTCTATAAACACCCGCAAACCCCCAAACCCTGGCCATTCAGAACATTCTGTCTTTTCCGGACATCGAGGTGAAAATACAAGCACTGGAACCCTCAGACAGATCTGCTGGCACAATCGAAACCCCGAACGGTTGTAGTAATCAAGCTTCAATACAATGATGAGAACGTTGCCAACATAATGCGGCGTTAAAAGAAGGGGTTGGGGCCCGGAATTTTTTTTTTTAAATGTAGGGAAGAGGCGTGATGAGATAGTTACTGTCACCTTCTCGAGAAGATCACGCTTCGCTAACTCGTCAAAAAATTGCAGCACTCCAAGGGCCCCAGCCAGAGTGATTACAGCGGCCACAAAATCGGACGCGGGGAGCGATTCGACTGCCGCTACAGGAGAGCTCGCTAAACCTGGCGTTATCACAGCGCAACTGCACAGCAACGCAGCTGAAAACCTTCTGAAGCGTTCCTGCGATCCTGCTGGCCCGCAAAAACTGAAACCATCACTTCCGAGCGAGACAAAAGTCTTCCGAATTTCGGAAAAAACTGCCGTCCAGGAATGAGACGGAGTCGCCACACGACCTTGTGAGTGTTCACATGGCACTGGAGCTAGGGAACTAGTCCCTTGATCAACACCCTCTACATCCCTGCCGAAGCTTGCACAGCGAGCTACAAGCAACTCATTAGGAATACCCGGATCGGAACCCCGAACTCCCGGGCCAAAACTCAAACTAAACTGTCCCTTCCAACCTCTACCAAAGACGACACCAAAGCGCTTCGGCATTTCCTCACCACTAACCCTTGAATCATGGTGATTCTCCCTCTGACGACCCACTCCACACCTCGCACTTCTGTCATCTGTCAGCCGACTCAATTCCGACGGCGAATTGCAACAAGCAACTGTCTTACTCCTCACGAGGGCATGTGAGTGCATATGCAGCGCCATATGGGACCAAATTAGTTTAAGACTTAGTCAAGAAAGCAGCAAGCCTCACTCTCCCTCCCAAGCGCTAACATGGAAGAGAAGAACACAAGCATAGCCTCGGATCATGGGCCAGTAAAAGTGGCTCCATGAGCAGCTGGAGCTGCGACAGTAAACTGTTCAGCATATACTCCGGACGCCATATCCACATCCGAACGGTTCGACGACTAAGCGCAATCGGAGCGTTTATCATCATCTGCTTCCGAGCAAATCCAAGTTTGGAACTGTCGTGACGTCATAGGTTCTAGATCTTTCTGTTGCAGGGGGATTGTCCACACCGCAGTTTCTTGATCTGGATATTTGGTTTGACCCATGTCTCTGCACGTGTCATACTTTTCCAAGTGAAGCAATCATACCTTGTGTGTATGTTTTTATTCTCATTGCTAGCTAACTAACTTACTAACTAAGTGAAAATATAGCAATTTGGAAAAGAATATTCATTGGAGAGGTATAGAGTATAACTTTTGGTTTTGAGTTCATACTTCTTCTTTTTATTTAGATAATTGTTTATATTTTTGGAAATTATGTAGTGACTTATTTCAATTTTAATTTCTTTTTTATTTGTGTAGATTGAGCTTAAATTTGAACATAGTGTAGCCAAAAAATTAGAGCTTAGAATGTGAATTGTGTAACAATTAATTGTTTAATTGCTAACATCTTTGCCACATTTGTATCATATTTGTTAGTTTGTTAGTAACTTTTTTTTTAATATACTATGCCAAAATAAATAAATAAAATATACCATGATAATGGATGAATGAATAAGAGAAAAGATAATAAATAAATTTAAACACTACCCAAAAATATGGTCAACATTTCTTTTTCATTTTTACCAAATTCTAATAACAATCATTTTAAACATTCATTGTATAGTAAACATAAATTAAAAAAATGTTAAAATGATCCAAGATTTTACAAAATTAATCCATCTATCATCCCAATGCAAATAGAATATTAATCTCATCTATATCATCATTATTATGATTTACATTTGGATAAAAAAATAGTGGTCTTTTAAGAATAGAATTGATACAATGATGGTCATATTACTAATAACAATAACAAATTATCAATAGCTAAAATTAGCAATCTCTTTTTTTTATTCTATATTGTCAAAAATATATCTTCTTTTGTACTAAGTTATTTTGTTAATGACTTTGTATTATATTGTTGTAATATCTTTGATATTATGTCTTATATTTAGAAAACAAAAGGTCTATTCTTAGGTTATTTGATTTTTATAATCAATAGTTTGTTGCATATGTCTCCTCCATTAGAAGAGACGTTTGATTCTTTTGAGATATAAAAAAGCATTTTGGCCAATAAGTTAATCATGTTTTATATTGTGATAGAATTTATATTACTATAAATTATAAGGATCTTAGTTCTGAAAGATAATCTAGTCTTGTTTCACTTCTTTTTTTTGGTAATCTTATTGAATTTTCAATAATTAATATTTATCCACAATGATCAATTTTTTTTCTTCATAAATAAAATTGGAGCTCTTGTTGGAGATTTGAAATGGCATATGAAGTTCTTGGCTAGATTCTCTTTAATATATTCTTAGAGTTCAGCTAATTCATTTTGTAATATATTATAGATCGGTCCAAATGGCAATTGAGTTCCTTCTTGAAAATCAATTGAGCAATCATAAGAATAATGTTCTAGAAGAGTATCTACATTTTTCTTCTCAAATACATCTTGAAAAACTTAATATTGTATAAGAATGTCATTTAAAGTCTTTCTACCATTAAAAACAAGTGTGGCATAAATGACATAAAGTGATTCTTTTTTTGCAACATGCAAGAAAGTTCTTGCACCTACAAATATAGCTTTAATTGTATTAGACTTATGACTTTCTATTTAATTAACTATATGCTTAGTTATACTTTCAAAAAAGTCATGACTATGAAAAACCTAATCTATTCAAGGATTATATTTTTTAGCCAAAATAAACCTAAAATGACAAGATTAAAAAAAGACCTAATGGTACTAAATACCATAAAGCTTTTATAATCATTAGTTACTACTTTTAGAAGAAATATTCATGAATAATGTTTCCAAAGGACAACGGACGACTATCTATGACTTTTATATGAACATATTTTGTTTTCTTTATAAAAGATATGTTATGTCTTTTAACAAACTTTTCATCTAAAAAATAAGTTGAGACTCTTGAATCTAGCAAGATAGAGACTTTGTAATGTTTAGGTCTTAAACTAATATCTATTGTAAAACAAGAAGAAGGTTCTAAAGAGAGAATAAGGCCTTCATTAGGTGTTGTACAAGGTTCAAATTATATGGTCCCAACTGTAGCTAAATAAACTCATTTTTTGACATGTTATCTTTTTTGACAGTTATACTTTTTATTTTATAATTGTGTTGTTTCTTTAGACAATGTTAAGTAGTATACTTTCGTTTTCTACAATACAAATATAGTCTTTCTTGACAACAATAAGTCTTTTTTTTCTCAATTAAAAATTTGAAATGTACTACATCAACTTGCATATCCTCTATTTTCAAAGGTATGTATTGAAGAGATGTTGGTATTTCTATTGAATTATAATATTGTTGAGGCTTATTTATATAATTCTCAAATTGAAATTCAAAAATTCAATTATCATACTTTACAGCAAAATTAATTATTTGACTTAATATTTGAAGATTAAATAAACTCAATATCAATTTCTTTACTTCATATTATAATCTATAAAAAAATTGGATAATGAGTGCAACATCATTCTATTTGATATCAATTACAAGTTTTCTAAATTGTAAAGTATATAATGTTACAAATTGATTTTTTTTCTTGTAAAATATAGAACTTGTTTGTTGCAACACAAATTATATCATATTTTCTATACATAGATCAAAACTTTGCTAAGAAAGCTTCCAAATTATCCAATATTGAATTATTTTGTTTAAATAAGGATAAAACCCATAACAATGCAAAGTCAAAAAATAATATTTCAATAAACTTGACTTGTGATCTTGGAATTAGATAGTTTTAGGATTGAAGTTCAATTGTTAATTATACTTAATTCGTGAATCCTCAAAACTTTGATATTGTACCATCAGATCTATTAAAATAAGGTTAACTTATTGCCTAAGTTTCTATCCTATAAACACATCTAAAGTCAAAACCGAATCTATAAAGCTTCTAAGAAGCTTATCTAGAAGACTTTATGAATTTAAATTATATTTACCTACTTCTACTTAATCATATAAGTAACTATTGGAATAAATGTATATGTCCATGACATTACCTCTCATTCTAGTGACGAGTTCCATGAGGAGCAAATATCATCTTTCCTAGATCTATGGAATTCTTCATCTTGGTTTTGGTGGATGTTGTAGATGAAAGGCCTCAAATTTCTTTGTTGCATTTATAAGATTCTTTGTTGGCTCCCATGTGTATTTGCTAATATCATATCTATGCCAATGATCAAGATATTTTAATGTATTTTAACGTTGCCTTGAATCTAAGACTTTTTCTACCTCAAACTCTTGATTATTATCCACTTCTATGGAAAGAGGTGGCATTTATCTTCTTTCTAAAATATTCATTGTCTTATACGGCTCAAGAAAAGATACGTGAAATACAGAATAAATCTTTATAAACTCACGTAGATGTAATTGATAAGCAATAAGATTGATTTGTTCACAAATAAGAAAAGTTCTCAACCTATGATAGTCCAATTTATCATAAGGAGGAGTAGTCTTGATATTGCGACAAAGTAACTATACCTTATCATTTACATTGAATTATAGTTGCTCCTTGAGATCGGCATCCACATTGAACTTTTGTCTTTCTTGAGCTTCCTTTAATTGTATCTTTATTGTTGCATGCAACTCTGATAAACAATTTGCTAAATCTTTTGTATGAAGATTATCAACTTTTGAAAAATCAAAATTATCAAGATGTTGTCGTGTTGTAACACAACTATATGGTAAAAGATGGTAATATGGATCTTATTATAGAAGATCCAAGTTAAAAGATAAAATAAAAAAAATGTTGATAAAAGATAGGAAGATAGTAAAATTTTTAGTAGTAGTACTACCTTTTTATAAAAGTAACTTCTATTTACTTTATAGGGCCATAAATAAGCCAAAATAAGGTAGATTGGAAAAAAAATAATATAAGTATCTTTAAGAAGAAGTTAAAATTAAATTCTAACAAAAATTACCTAAAAAAACTAGATATTCATACCTGAGGAGGGCCAATTAGTAACCTGGATCGAAATCAGACCTTGAGGCACAAAATCAAGCACCTACAGTAACTCGGGGATTTTTTTGCAAATCGAAGAGTGGAATTTGATAGAAAACTAGATAAGATTTCTATGAGCATTAGTTTTAGGTGATTTGGATTTGTAATGACTTTGTAAGAGCTTTGCAAAGTCAAGTTTGTTTTCAGATGACTTGGATTTTATGAAATAAAATAGGGTTGTCATTTCTAGTGATTTTAAGAGTTTTGGAATAGATCTATGAGTAAAATTTTGTGGATTAATGGTCATAGTTGTTCTTAATATGTGTTGTGAATCTTAGATCGTATTAAGAGTTGAATTGAGGGTTATTGATGTTTAAGTGGATCAAGGTCTCAAAAAATAGAATTTTAGGTCTAGTGAGGATTTTTAAGATTTTTTGCAATCTACTTATTGGATTGGAGTAAAATTTATGTGTGAAGATATTAGACTAGTTTTCCTATGTATATGAGAATTTTGAGATCAATGAAATGGTGAAAATGAGAGATATTGGCTCTGGGAGATTGGCATCAAGGTTGGAGAAGGAGGCTAGCTAATATCCAACCACGTTTTTGAGGCTATTGTCTATTTGGTAATTCCGATCATTTTTAAATTTTTTTGTACTTTTTATCAACTTAATTGTTAAAAAGCATGCAAATTTTGAGTTAAGATCAATGATTCATTTATTAGTAATTGAGGTTTAAATCTATTGTAGGAATTACTATGATTTGATTTAGGATTTAGGGTTTGGTTTAGGATTTGGTTAGGATTTGATTTAGGATTTAAGATTTGATTAGAGTTTGATTTAGGGTTTAGGATTTGATTAGGATTTGATTTAGGGTTTAGGATTTTTTAGGATTTGTTTAGGGTTTAAGCTTTAGTTAGTTTTTGACCTAAAGTTTGAATGAAATCCAATAGGATTTTAAT